ATCCCCACCCACACTTGTGAGTATTTCTTATGACAGGCACATTTATGTACAAACTCTTGACATATGGTTGTGACTTGGCATATTATGTTGCAGATCAGCTTCTGTCTCTGCATCAGCTGCAGTTAGAAGCATTGCGGAGGAAGAAGTACAATCTCCTTCAAGCGAGGAGACAGAGAAATTTGAAGCAAATGAAGTTGCTGACAATTCTGTATGTTCTATCCATTTTGGCATCTTGCATAGTTTTATCTGCTTTATACATTGATTAAAAAAACTAACTTTTTTGCTATCATATTGTTTTATTTTCTTTTTCATATATTCCCTTCTATTTTATCTTCTTGTTAAAGGATCTCGAAGAAACTGGTCGAGGGAAGGGGCGAAAAAGAGCTGCTCCTAGAGGAAGAGGTAGAGGCACGTCTACTGCAAAGAGGGGGAAAAAGTCAGATATGTCTTCCATCCATAGTATGTTCATGAGCAAGGACAATGATGACGACGATGACGATGATGAGAATGCCAATAGATTAAAGAAAGCCCAGACTCGGGTAACTTATCTTTCTTATTCTCCCATCGATTCTTCTGATTGTATGGTAACTCGGCTGTATTCTGAATTTTCTTGGAGTATTATAGCGAATATATCAACCAAAAAACAAAAACAGAAACTGTCTATTATATCTCGAGTTTAACAAATCAACAATGTAAGGACAAAAAAGACAAACTAATCCATACATAGGAGCAAGGCATTTATACTGAAAACTGCAATATGGCTGCCAACTTATAAAGGACATATGTGCTGGCGGATTTTGTTTCTACATTTTTTATGGATGACGTCCCTTTGGATTTGGACAGATTCATTATAGATCTTATATTCTATATCTTCACCTTTCAAGCTTGTGTTGAAGGATGGCACTGAATATCCTTTCTGAGACCGAATAGTAGGATCATGATGGAATGCAATAGTGGGTATTTTGGCTAGATGAAACGGTAAATCTGGAAGTGGGAGATAAAATGATCGATGATAAGAGGCCATGCTGATAATTTAACTAAGAAAATGACCCTTGATAGAGTTGAATGTGCGAAAAGATGCATATAATTGATGTCAGCCGCCCACCTTTTTATCAGCAGCCCACTCACAAAGGAAGAATTCAGTGTCGCTTTTGTTGAGAAATTAAAAGGATGGTGGGTCCCACCAATAAACTATTATTAGTGGCGGGTCCCACTAATAATATTTTATTAGTGCATAGTATTTCTCAAACACTAAATAGGGCATAAACTCTTTAGGAAAATTTATTCCAGAAACCACTTCTCTCATAGAAGAGTAAGAGAGAAAACATAGAGAGAGTTTGTGAGAGTTCAAGCTTGTGAAGATTGATACGAGATACAATCCAGCTGATATGCTGACCAAGTTGGTTCCGCTTGAAAAAGTGAGACTGTGTGTTGCCTCATATGGCCTCCGTTGAGAATGTTGAGGGCCGTGCAAGACGTCAAAGATATAAGACATCCGGATGATGCAACCAAGAATGGTTTGAAGATATGATTGATACTAATCTTCAAGTGGGAGATTGTCAGCCGCCCACCTTTTTGTCAGCAACCCACTCTTTTAGATAAAGGAATAATTCGGTGCCGCTTTTGTTGAGAAATTAAAAGGGTGGTGGGTCCCACCAATAAACTATTATTAGTGGCGAGTCCCTCTAATAATATTTTATTAGTACATAATATTTCTCAAACACTATAAATAGAGTCTAAATTCTTCAGAAAAATTTATCTCATAAACAACTCCTCTCATAGAAGAGTAAGAGAGAACATAGAGAGAGTTTATGAGAGTTCTTGGAGTGTATCTTGATCAAGAGAAAGTGTTCTCTTTAGTCTAATTCTTTTGGAATATAAAAGAATTTTTTGTCGTCGTTGCACCGTGGAGTAGCTCCGAAGGAGTGAACCACATATATCTGTGAGTACTGTGATTGATTTTATGCCTTTATTCTGTGTATTGCGTCTCCGTTCGAGGCGTTCTTATTAGTGTGTATCTTAACAATTGAATCCTAGAAAGTTTAGATTTTCGAATTGAATATCTTATTTAAGAAACATAGTGAGCAGTATTCATGTATTCGTTCACCATAAAGGAAGAAAAAGAAATAGATTTTGAAAAAGAAATTAAAAGAGAGACTAAAATGTCAATTATATCATGAACTGAAGACTAATTTTTCTGCCATTCTTTGTACTTTTTCACTTCCCTTCTCTTTGTAACATAACAGGTAACAAGGAACTATGGTGCGATCCGAAAGAGATGATTGTTCTCAAGCTCACAAAATCGAAGGATATTTCATTGTTGAGGTTCAAACCAGTATAATGCGCTCTCAAAGGGGTAGGGTGGAGATCTTGAGTCACTATTTTGCCCTCCTGTAGTAAATGTGAAGTATTCCTTGTATATTAATTTCTATGCCAAAAACTTAAGGAGATAAGCTTTTATTGGCCTAAGATTTTGTCTTCACTGTATGCACTGATTATTTTCTCATTAGTGAAAGATGGAAACTTTATTTTCACTTCAGTCTTTAGTGAAGTTTTTTTGGAAAACGTTTGAATAGAGTTTTCAGAAAAGCTTGGACAATCAAGAGGCAGGATGAATAGTCACAACGATAGTTTACTTACCATGGAGCATGAGTGTCCAATACTTTTTTGTGTTATTTTGCACATCCGTCAAATCTTTCATACGTGCAAAATTACCCATCAAATATTGATATCTGTAAAATTCCGCCCAATTGTCACACATTGATTTCTTCTACCCTTCTCACTTAATAATTTTAATTTAAAAATGAGGTGTAAATAAATTGGAAATTGTTGGAATTTTTGACATAGATCTATTTAGAGACCAACATTGTTATGTTGGAGAGGTAGAAAGATCCAATATGCCAGTTTTGGGAAGTAATTTTGCAAATAACAAATATAGATAAATTTGCAAATATTGAAGATTGAGGGAGTATATATGCAGAAAACCCTACTTATTTCTTCTTACAAGTGTGTCGCAGGAAATATTTTTATTTGACATTGTACTTTTAGGAATTTTGCACCGAGCATTGGATACTTGGAAATTTCGCATTATCATATATGATGAGGATATTGGCTCTGTTGCCATATAATTTACCAAAATAAGCTATTAAAACATATTTGAGTAATGAGGTCCACATGTATCCATATGACAATTCATTCGGGATGGACCTAACTTAGTATTATATATTTCTTGATAGTTCATTTAGCAACATATGATATTAATTTATATCATTTCTTTTTAGTTATTTTTTCATATATTACATCAATTTTTTTATGTGTATTGCGTTAAAAAAATAAAACTAAAAAATGTGATATTTTAAATTTACTTCTCGAAATTGTCAACCTCTTATGATATTAATTTATATCATTTCTTTTTAGTTATTTTTTCATATATTACATCAATTTTTTTATGTGAATTGCGTTAAAAAAATAAAACTAAAAAATGTGATATTTTAAATTTACTTCTCGAAATTGTCAACCTCTGGAGGAGGAGGAGGAGAACGATAAACGATGTAACACGTTAACATAAAGGCTTGTTTGTTTGCCAATTTTTTGGGATGTAATATTACACCAACTCCTCTGTTTGGCTTGCTCAAATAAGCGCGGTTACTGGAGCCGAGTTGGCGCTACTACAGTTGAGTTGACAGCTCCTTAGCTTTTCTCAGCAAAAAACAGTGAAATAGGCTCGATTTACTATAGCTGTCAGATATAGCTAGACCATTCACTTCCCTGTCAACCCTAAGCGTTGACAACGATGATAACGATCTTTGTGATGATTCTTGTGCCGGTGACATGAATTGTCCGTGACGATGGAGAGCATGATGACAGTGCTAAGTAGCAGTGACAAGTGATTCCCATTATTCTTCTTCTAAAAACCGAAGTCAATATAAATAAGAAACTAATTTTAATTTACTTGGATCAAGTCCAAATCTAAAAGCCTTCAAGTACGGTCCGAATCACTTATAAATTTGTTCACCATAGGGCCCGTTTGGTTAGCTTATTTGAGTAGCGAAAAACCATTTTCTCTTCCTGACAACACCGCCAACCTCGACAAAACCCGTTCTTTTCCATGCTTTGGTTCGCTTCTTCCCCTTGTCCCTCCAACCGCAGAAATCCCCTCCACATCAGATCTGCTTCTTTCTCCCATTTCTTTCCAAAACGAGAGAAAATCGGATATAATCGTCGAAGATTTGTACTATTGTTAGATCTGTGGTCTTTTGGGGGAAAACTTGTTGAGGGCGAGGGTCACCACCGCTTTCCCTTACTTTTTTACTCTTCGTGCCATGATTTCTCTCCAATACTTGCGGGAGTTCTAAACTGTTGCTTTCGTGCTTGCTTTTCATATTTATCAAGCCTTAGTTCCTCAAATTCGTTGTTTTCGCTAGATCTTGCTAAAAAGGCAGCGCCTTTATTGAGAAAATTTAGTGTGTTTTTGCTGGATCTTGCTATACTTCAGATCTAATGTATGATTTAATCTTAATTTAGAATTGATTTTTTGAAAATTTTGTATGATTTAGAATTATTATGATGAAATTTTACGTTTTCTATACTTATTTAAAAATTTCATGTTCTTAAATTATCTAAAATTAACTAAAATTAACTAAAAATATTATCTGAAATTATTAGTATCTTTTGGGTTTGTTTGTTTGTGTATGTATTTTTTAGAAGATGATACAGTGATAAAGTTGTATGCTTAAGAGAAAAAAATATTCATGGGGTAACAAAATTTGTGTTCACTTGTTTGCGGTCACCATTTGATTATAGTGTATGATCATAAGTTTATATGATTGAACCTATGCCTGAACTTTTGCTAGAAATTATGATTATTGACTGTCTGTAGGCTGTCTAAAAATCACAATAGATAGCTTATTCAAACAAGCTCCGACAACGGAGGTCACAATCAGACGACTTCCCAATCACTGTATCCGCAACTCCACAATTGCCACAAACGCGACCTCACCTCTGAGATGATTGATCTTGACGGCTGTGACAACAGCATGGCTAATATCGTAGCAATTATTAGAGATGCTGATGAGCAGTGGGACGATTTCAGAAATAAAAAGTTGGACTCAGTTGGTGAGTTGCTTGGTAGAGAGCTATGGGCGAATATTCATCTTTAAGACACTATGGATGTTGATTCCCGTCTAGCTCCTACAACAAAAGCTACAATCAAATAGCTTTCGGGTCGGTGATTGAAAGCGGCAAATAGAGGACTTTTCACATAGATCGAGAAAGGTTACAATTTAACGACACTTCCGACAACTGATGAAAACTCTATGCAGCAGTCTTCACAATCTACAGTGAAAGTTACAATCTGACGGCTTTCACACCCCACAACAGCTAAAGCCAGGATTACTGAACAACGGTCCTTGCAACGCTCTACCGAAGAAGTTACAAATCAGCTAACTCCTTCTGAAACGCGGGTGTCATCCCCGCGTCATAACTTTGGAAATGAAGGCGACCCTCGCGGCGTCAAGCCACGGCGACCCTCGCGTCTGCAGCAGTCTTCACAATCTACAGTGAAAGTTACAATCTGACGGCTTTTACACCCCACAACAACTAAAACTAGGATTATTGAACAACGGTCCTTGCAACGCTCTACAGAAGAAGTTACAAGTCAAATGGCTCCTTCTGAAACGCGGATGTCATCCCCGCGTCACCAAGTTGGAAATGAAGGCGACCCTCGCGTCGTCAATGCACAAGCCAAACGTGAGCGACCCTCGCGTTCAATGGTGTTCAGCTAACACCCAACTTCGCGTCTCAATTCAAAGAACACGAAGTTGAGTTCTAAACGCCAGAATGGGCGTTTGACTTATTCAAACATAAGTCGAACGGTTCCAAAACCGTTTATCCCACGTTCTGAGGGATTTTCGCCCACGTAGGAGCGGATATAGGGGTCAGTTACAACCTCTTATCCCCCTATAAAAGCTCAACGAACTCAACTGAGTCACAGGTTGGATTTTTGGCATCTGAACCACACAGGTTGGATTCAAAAGATCTAAACCATACAGGTTGGAGATTTTCAGTTCTAAAACAAACTCGACAGAGTTAAAGGATCGGGATTTTTGATAATCAGATCAAAGGTTGGATTTTTGGCATTTGAACCACGCAGGTTGGATTTTTGGCATCTGAACCACGCAGGTTGGATTCAAAAGATCTAAACCATACAGGTTGGAGATTTCCAGTTCTAAAACAAACTCGACAGAGTTAAAGGATCGGGATTTTTGATAATCAGATCAAGGGTTGGATTCTTCATCATCAAAACCACTCAGGTTTGGAGATTCGGCAACAACATCAACGAAATCCTTGGAGATAGGATTTTTGAACTAACCTCAGAAAATCAAATCTGAGAGAATTCTTCAACAACAGAAAAACAGCTTGATTATTAACCGAATTTTCGGTTCCAACAACTCTATTCACAGAGTTCAAACTCGTTCAGAGTTCTTAAACTCATTCAGAGTTATTCATAAAACTTTCCACGAAAGTTCATCGTTCCCACGAGATAAAGACGGTCGGATCGTCAACGGAGAGCAAGTTCGACGCAATCAATCGAAGGAAGCACTCCATTGCTGCCAAGAAGAACCCAGTTTTAAACAAAGGGGAAAATCAAATTCGTTTTCCTCTCTTTTGTAATCAAGTTGTAACCGAGATCAAAGGAATCAAAGTCACATTTTCTTTATTCTCTTCTTTACAATTTTTCCAACAAACACTGTCCAATGCTAATTTTCTTCTTAATTGATAGAAGTTTTGATTATTGATATTGCATATGAATGCTTGCGATGTATATTAATTATTTCAATTTGATTTTTGCATATGAATGCTTGCGACATGATTGATGCATTTCTCAACAAAGAGGGTTGAAGACTAGAATATGGGTGTGCGTGGTATTTTGTGATTCTTTGTGTTCAGTTTTGTGCAGAGGCGTATGCTTCGGTACATGAATCTTTATGTTCAGTTTTGTGTTCATGTCAGTTTAGTGTTTAGGTGTTCAATTTTGGTGTTTAGGTGCTTTTGATATTTATAAGTTTTAGAGAATTTTTGTTACAAAGCCCTCTATGTATACGAGACTCATGCTATTGGTATGATATTTTTACAGTTACATGTGCTTTTGATTGTTCAGGTTACATGTTCCTTCAGCGGGCTTTGATATGATAAGTTTTGGGGGATTTTTAGACTTTTTAACTTTAAGACTATGATGACTGTCAAATTTTCTGAGATTAGCAACTTGCAATATCTATTGATATTGCACTGGATGACTAACAATGATGATATTGACCAAGTTCTAAGATTCGCAACATGCAATATCTATTGATATTGTCAAATTATGAATAATCAGGTTATTACAGGTCTCGTTTGTTTTTCTTGAAAAATAGGTTTCGTGTGATTTTTTCAATATCATGTTAGTGGTTATGCCCTAGGCCAAATATTTGGACATTGATGTAATGATTATATTTTTATTTAAAGAATGGTTTACTCCATATTAGTATTATTGGCATGTTA